TTTCTCTATTTCTGCATGAGCTTAGAGTTCTCACATCTAAACCTCTGTGTATTTCTGTCTCTCCCCAGCTTTGTTGTTACTGTGCCTGGGGTTGTCTGGAAAAGAGGAGAAGGATGTTCCTCAGTCAAAGCAAACACTTGTCCAGCTGAGTCAGAAATACCCAGAGAATGGAATCTGGCCAGGGGTGGTGTGGTGTGGCATGTTAGAATGTCAAGATGAGGTGATTGAACCTCTGCTTGCTAAAGTATTGAGTTGTTAATGGTTGTAAAGATTTGATGGAATACATATTTTACCAGAGAGTACCAGTCATTCCCCACTTCTGATACTTTTATAAAACTGTGTATGAGCATCAGCTGACTTGGGGGCTTTGGGGTTTATTTTGCCAGGTTCCCTTGGTCTCTTCTACCAGTGAGGGGTACACAGCCTCCCAACCCATGTATCAGCCTTCTCACACGACAGAGCAGCGGCCACAGAAAGAGTCCATTGACCAGATCCAGGCAAGTGGGATTTCACAGGGGTGGGAAGGACCCTGCTTGCACATGGGATCCAAATGTTAGGTCTGTCTCTGTAAATAAAGTTCTGTTATTTTTAGTTGCCTGTTGATAGGGCTGCTTCAGTTCCATTTAATTTCAGAATATTGAGCCTGTCTGTGAACAGTAAGTCCTTCACGGCAAGACTTTTAATTGGCAAGATTGTCTGTTAGAAGTTAGATGCCAACATCAGCATGTGAGCATCAGTGTTGTTGGCTTAGGAAATGTGATTTATTTTTTACTTTGGCTAGTAGTTAGCCCAGAAACTTGTTCATTTTCCCCTCTAGTTTTTTCTAGTTGTGTCACATAAGTGAGGGAGAAGACTGTAGAAAATACTCCCTTGTTGAGGTGAACCAGAGGTGTTGTCACTGTTTTTTTACAGTGAAGTTTTTAAGCTAAGTTTTTGGCATTCTTCAAAGGCTGCTAATTGCTGTTTGTTCTAATGACTAGGCTTCGATGTCGCTGAGTGCAGAGCAGCCCCCGTCGTCGTCGTCGCTCCCCGCCGCGTCCCAGCCGCAGGTGTTCCCGGCAGGCTCCAGCAAACCCCTGCACAGCAGCGGCATCAACGTCAACGCGGCTCCCTTCCAGTCCATGCAGACGGTGAGGGACGGGTGCTGCTCTGCTCACCCTCAGCCCCTTTGCTTGGGGAGGCCTTCCTTTTGTTCTGCAGGCACTGGAATCGGTCACGTCGTTCCATGGAGCAGCCTGTAGTTATTTGTGTCGCTCAGACTGGGGGGTTTGTCTGTGATGGGATGAAGAGTTGTAAGAATTCAGTGAATGCTTTCTGCCATTGTAGGTATTCAACATGAACGCGCCTGTTCCTCCTGTTAATGAGCCAGAAACCCTTAAGCAGCAAAACCAGTACCAGGCCAGTTACAACCAGAGCTTCTCCAATCAGCCTCACCAAGTAGAACAATCAGATCTGCAGCAAGAACAGCTCCAGACAGGTAACCTTATTTTCACAAAACCTAAAATGGCAATAGCTGAAAAAAAGTTTCATGATTATTCTTATGATGAGAACAGTATAGTAGAGTACTTGCTCTGCTGATGTTGAGGTTGATTGATCCTTAAATTTGCTTTAAAAAAGGTTGTACTATTGGAGATGACATATTAAAAAGGAAATGGTAAGCTAGAACTGAGAACAAATATGGACTCGCAGATCAGGTGATGCTCACAAAGATTGAGAAACTTCTGCTAAAATCAGTTAGATGTGGTTTGGATAGAGCAGACAAAGCACTAAATTAGGAACTTCAAAAAAACAAACAGATGGTAAAATAGACACATATGAGGCTGTTGTTCTCCTAGCACCCTCCTTGTTCTCTTTGAGATAAAGTTTGCAGATGCAGAGAGCTGTTAGGAGTGAAGGGCAGAGGAGAGATGACAAGGGTCAAGCGTTAACAACTGCTGGAGGTGGAGTAAGGAAAAAGCCTGATGCTTTTATACTGTAATGGATTATGATCTTGACATTTTTCTTCTTGCTAGTTGGGATGCTGGAGTAGGTGGATGAGAGAGGGACAACCCAGTTTTCATGGTTCATCTGGTTTTTGAAGCATATGCAGTGCAAGGGCAGAGAAACAGTTTGGGGAATGCTGGTGTTGAAGGGGGGCTGCGTGGCTTTAAATGCTCAGCTCACTGTAACATGACATGGAATGGATACACAGGAAATGCTGTGGCCTTGGAACAAAACCTGCCCACATTAAACACTCAAAAGGATGAGCACTTCGTGTCCCATGAGAATTGATGTTGGGAGAAGGGAGGATCTGTGCAGAGTTTATAGCAGTCTGTGGCTGAGTGAAGTAGATGCCACGTTGTGCTCCCCACTGGGTGATCTACTGCATACGAGAGGGACTTGGCACCTCCAAATTTTGAGATCTTGCTTCATTGGGCTAAATTTTACCCATCTTACTCTTCCAGAATTCCATCTTTTGTTACACTTACTGATCCTATAACCCCCAAATTGCTTTTGTAATCCACTTCATTCCTGACAATTCCTGTGAAGTACTGTGACATACCTTACTTCAGAGACACAGACAGTCTCAGGCTATCCATCCTGCTCTTGCCTTTTGACTTCCACATCCTGTGGGAAGAGTTTCCCAGCCTGTGCAGTGAACACATTAGCTCCATTCAGATGCTCCCATCAATCTAATGGTTGTCAGCACAGCTACACCTAACAGAGAATTTCGTTAAGACAGAAACCTTAGTGGGCCTCTTTCAGTTCAGGGTGAGGAAGTTACAGAAGTGGGTTACCTTATTCATACTGGCTTCTTTCTAGAGTGTGTGTTCCTGATATTTTTTTTTTTTTAAATATTTGAAATAACACAGAAAAATTGTACCTGCATGAGCAACGCTTGTTGCTGAGCTTACACTTCTTGACACTGACTTAAATTAAGCCTCTCCCATTTCTGGATTGTTTTAATGCTGTGGGATATCAGCACAGTAAACTTGATACTTCTGTAGATTATTTTTCTTGGAATGGATGAGCATTTATTGATGTGTTCAGTGGTATTTCAGAGCTTTGAATGGTGAGTTTGAAGAGAGCTTAAGTGGGAACATAAACCCACAGACTTGTCTTTTTCCCCCCAATTCCACCACAGTGGTTGGTACTTACCACGGTTCCCCGGACCAGAGTCACCAGGTGGCAGGTAACCACCAGCAGCCTCCCCAGCAGAACACTGGATTCCCACGGAACAGTCAGCCTTACTACAACAGCCGAGGGGTGTCTCGTGGTGGCTCCCGTGGTGCTCGTGGCCTCATGAACGGTTACAGGGGACCGGCAAACGGATTTAGAGGTAAACAGCTGTATTAAACCTGCTCGTCTGACCTTGGCTTCTCTCTGGAAACACTGTCAAGATACCAAGTGTTCAACTGACCTCCTGTCACTTTCATACTGTAGTAGTATTTCTGTAAGGTAAATTCTGTTTGCTTTAGCTAACTTAAGGATCTTAAATTTTAGGTGTTTGGTTACATTTCCTACTGAAATGTTTTTATTTCCAGTTATGATAGAAGCAGTGTATTTTAGAGTTCCATGTTTCATCATACTGAAAATAGGCTGGATAATGTAGAACTACAAGAACAAAAAAGTCCAGAGGTCATTAGGGAATTAACAGGAGCAGAGGAATGATACTGTAGTTGTGGAGAACTAAGAGCTTTGCTGATTTCTGAAGATGATTGTATGTGGCTGTCAATGTTCCAGAGACATGTGTGTTAGAATGGGAGGGAGAGACAGATTGCTTGTTGTGTGTTCTGGGATTGTCATGGATACAGTATTGTCTGCCTTTGCCACGTTGTCTTCCTCTCATGTGGTTGGAGAGCCAAGGAGAAACCTTCATAATAAAAATAGGGCTGATTGTAGTAGGGAAGGCAGTGATCACTACTTTGCTTAAAATTGATCTGTTCCAAGTGTTGGGCCCTTGGGATCAGAGCCACCCTTGGACATAGTTCCTAGCACTCAATCTTGGTTCTGGAGCAGCTTCTTGCTTGAGGTGGCTGTTGTGACCTTGCAGGTCACAGCTGTTACATTTAGATCCTGTCATGCTGAGCTCTAGATTGAATGTTATGTAAATCAAACCTCAGATTACTAGAGAAATACACTGAGTTTGTCTCCTTCCAGTTCCTACTAGTCTTCATTCTCCCTTCTTGTAATAGTACTAACAGTGATGTTGCAAACATTTGCTTGACTTGCAGGTAACCAGTACTTACTAAAGGGTTTTTTTCCCTTCAGGTTTAGGTAAAATGCTGTTACTGCTTTTCTTTGTATGGTAGCACGAAGTGTAATAGTTCCTTGCCAGTGAAAGCCTTGTGCCCTGTCCCTTAGGAGGCTACGACGGCTACCGCCCGTCCTTCTCCAGCGCGCCCAGCAGCGGCTACACGCAGCCCCAGTTCAGTGCCCCCCGGGACTACTCCAACTACCAGCGGGTAAGCTGCCCTCGCCACGCCACAGCCCACTGGGGGAAGAGTAGCTGCCAATGGAAGCACTCTGACTCCTCCAAGGGCTTTTTTATTGCTAGCGAAGCCAAAAATGTCAGGTACCGAGCAGATGTTTAGAAACAGCGGAGTATTAATTGGCTGGTTTTAATTGGGAAGTGTTCTTGACCTCTAAGGGAATTAGTAACTAAAGCAAAATTGAGCAAATTGTAAAGAACTCTTTCCAGTTCTTTCCAGAGCTTTGTGAGAAAGAAACTTAAAAAAAACTTAAATCTGTTGAAACTAACTTAAAAGCTCCTTGTTTTATTGGCAGTTAATAGCTTCCTGAAGCATCACAAAATGCCCAGGTTTTATGTCCTGACTTTTTTCATTTCTTTGCTTCAGGATGGATATCAACAGAATTTCAAACGTGGCTCTGGACAAAGCGGACCTCGGGGAGCTCCTAGAGGTAATTCCTGAGTAGTGAATAATTGAGTTGGGCTGAATTGAAGTTCTTGACAGAAATTGTGGAGTTGTGGATTTAAAAAATGACCTCGCTCCTTATTCGGCAGGTCACAGTTGGAGAATAGGCTTTGATGCTTTAAATATAGAACTATTTAGTTGCCTTTCATTAATGAAAGCCTTAGGAAAGTGAATTTTTTCTGGTGAGGTTTATAATGGCTTAAGATCTGCTTACTGGGTGCATTAGTAGTTTGCCAGTAAGACTCGCATATATGTGAAGGAACTCTGACAACCATATATAGTCGAGATACACACTTGGGAGTTCTCCCTGAGTTTAGACCAGAGCTTTTGGCAATTTTTTAAAAATAACCTGACTTTATGCATAATTTTAAGAGCCTTTTTATATGTTTTCTAGGTCGTGGAGGGCCCCCAAGACCAAACAGAGGGATGCCTCAAATGAATGCTCAGCAAGTGAATTAAACAAATTCACAGGATTACATGAAACGCCAAAAACACACTGGCCAGTGTACTATACATGTTACCAGAAGAGTTATTATCTATTTGTTCTCCCTTACAGGAAGTTTGTTGTAAAGGGACTCTTTTCATTGCCCATAATGACAGGACTACAGTTGCCAGCTTTATATTACCTGGATATTGAAAGGAACGAAACAACGTTTACTCTGCATGTTCTGTCCTAAGCATCATCTTGAGCCTTGCACATGAGATTCAGATTCCTCACCCTTGCTAAGAGTAAAGCAAAAAAAAAAAGGCAATTTTCAGGGTGATCCAATCTCCATGGTTAACTGAAGTGGCAGGAAAAAGCAAAGACTCACTTCTGACACTTAGAAGCGACGTAACAAATTTGGGTAAAACCTGCGAATTCGTTAAGATTCACTGTAGTGGCAGTTGGCAAAACTTAAGGTTCCTGTGGAAGGATGGAAAAGGTGAAGTGTGGCTGGGCAGAGCAACCTCATTTCAGCTTTTTCTTCCCAAACTGAAGCACGGAACAGTTAAAGGTGCATAGTGATGCCTGTTTCCCTAAATAGACAACTAGGCTTCTAGCCAGTTTTTGAGAAAGAAGCAGCCCCTTAGCTGCAGCACTCCTCATCACCAGGGCCCTCTTCACTGTGGCTGAGGATTTAAGATGCTTGCATAACTGCTAATGTAATCGTGGAATTATTTTTTTAAAGAGAAAGGAAAAAAAAAAAAAGCTTTGATTTGGCACTTCAACAAAATTTTGTGACAGATGTGAGCTATAACCTGGATGGCCACTGTATATTTGATGTGAAGTATTTAGATATCTCTTTGAAACACTTTTAAGTTTCTTTGATAGCAATGACTTTTGTAAGGACTGGTATTCTTTTATCATTCCTTATGACTTGCACATTGTCTGTCACTAATACTTGACCTTGCTGTATTGTCACCTAAATAACTGATGCCGGTACTGATGGAAATCTAATGGATAATCATAACACTTTTGGTCACATGTCCTTTTGTCTTTCCTGCAGCCTTGAAGGTTTTAAGAAATCTCAAATGCCCGCTGCTGCTGCCCTTTTAATTGCTATCTTTTGAAAAGCACCAGTATGTGTTTGAGTTGATTTCCCCTTTTAAGGGAAATGACAGCCAGCAGTTACAGTTCTAATGGTATAAGCGAGACAAATAAAACATGTTTATAAAAATTGTATCCTGGAACACTGGTTTTCAGCGGCTGAAACAAATTCAATGTGATGGGGTGACATTTCATAAGGCTTTGGGGTGTTTTTGCCCCCTGACAGGTTGTTTTTCCTGAAGAGAGCTAAACCCTCCTCCCGTTTTCCTGATTTTATTCTCATAGCTGTGACTTCTGGGAAATGTTTCTTTTTAGGGACTTTGCTCTTCCTCAAGGCAGCAATGTATAAAAGAAATGGTCTGAGACTAGGAGCTGGAAAATACAGAGTCTTACTCAAGTTGTAGCTGCATACTTGTGGTCTGATCTCCAGAATCTCACTTGTGCCTGCCTTCTGAGCACATGCACTCTGCAGCAGGGAGGATTTGCCATCAGCCTCCACAGAGGGGTTGATAGTGCTGTTGCATTCTGTAGCATGTGCAAGAGGAAAATTGCTATTTATGTGAAGTACTGCTCATCAAATAACCCTTGCCTGTGGAAAGGTGGAATTAAGGGACAGCTCCGTGGTGTTTCCATACAAAACTGAAGGTTGTTTTCACTCGCTGGTCGTTTCTGCATTGTATCACAACTGAACTTTCAGAAGTTTTAGTCAGGTATTTTTGAATTTGTTGTGAAATAACCTGAAACTCCCTACAAATAGGTGGCAGTGTCACTTTTCCATGTGTGAAGAGCACAACTGAGAAATGTTTTCACTGAGAAAAGTGATAAGCTTTTGAAGACTGCTGCATAGTAGATATCTTGGAGCTGTGCTGATGGCTAGAAGCAGCAGTTTTGATCCAGGCCTAGAAACATTCCATACCAGTATAACAATACAAACTGCAGTCTGGTGAGGAGTTGCTGTTGTCTTTTTTTAGGAAGCTGTTACTGAGATAGATTATAGTCCCAACTGGTTTTTAACTGGAAAAAAATAAAAAGCCAAACCTCCTAATGTTGATCTGATGTAGGAAAACAGTGGATATATTTTTTAATACTTTATTTCTCTTGTGCATCAGCTTTTAAAATGGTTGGTAGGACACAAGCTATTCAGCTTTTTCCATTGCACATCAAATGCTGCTTAAATAGCTAATTGTAGTTTGATGGTAAACTTGCAGCATCCTGAATTAAAGGCCGCTGAGGGGATCAGGACATTCCACTCAAGGTTTTGGGGTTGGGGTTTTATTTTAACTTCAATTTATTAAGAAAATGCTGGGTAGTTGAGAGGCCTCTTAATTGGGAGATAACTTTGTAAGCCTCTTCATGTATGAAAATGGCCTTTTGAGTAGCTGCTCTGCTGTATGCTGATAGAGGGAGATGTGTTTTAACCATAAAACTAGTACGTAGGATGTGTTTAATCTGGGGATTTCCACTGGCTCCTTCAGTCTCAACACGTGTCTAATAACCAGCGTACTGAAGGGCTGGCTCGAGTCAGGAGTAAAGCACATAGATCACTGGCTGGTGTTCTGGCCAGTTCAGGGGAGCTTTTAAATCTCTTCATTCCATAACTTAGCTCTAGATCTGAGTTACAGCCAGATCATGAGCGCTCCTTGATAGATTTCTTTTCCAAAAGATCATCTTTTGAACAAACACCACTGTAAGAAGTGATGGTATTGAGGCAAAATGGGGGCAGTTCTGGGCTAGTTCTGTTGCTGAGCCCTTCCTGCATGCTGGGGGGTGTGAGCTGCCTTTGTTGTAGTTAGCTGCTGCTTCAGGTGCCTGTGGAACAAAGAGCTACTTCTGAGCCTGTCTGTATCGCCTCGGTTGCACTCTTCAGTGCTTTTACTGGATTCTTCTGTGAATCAGTCTGTCAGGAGCATAGCAGACTAGTTTTGGCTGCTGCCTTGTGTGCACAGCTACCACGAGGAGATACAGGTCTTTATTTTGGCAGGGGCTGCATTGTCTGGTAGTGCAAGGCTGTGGTAGCACACAGCCCTGTGTGTTTGGGAACAAACTTAAAAGCTTCGGCGTCTTCCTCTTGGCTGTAATAAAAGATTCTTGATGAAGGAATTCATAAACTGTATGACTCCAGATGTTTCTACCTACTTTTATTGTATCTGGGAAAGTCAGATCCTTTCTAGACATCCTACAACTTAAACATTTAACTTGGAAATCATGAACTATCTTCTCATACCTAAGTTGTCCTACACTTGTGTTCTCCCTGTGTACAGGCTGTCTTTCTAAGAACAGTTCACCAGTCCAACTTGGATTTTGCTGTGGAGTTCCAGACTTTACCCCCGTTTTCTTTCCAAGATCCTGTCCTTTTGTATAGCAATCTTTAAAGCATAACATGACTCGAAGCAGCTGGAAGAGTCATGATGACTTCTTGTTAACAGCCAGTTAATGTTTGTGGCTGGGATTTTATAACTCTTATAACTTTGTGACCTTAAAAATGTGTCTTCTCAGAATGTCCTGTTGACCTTGTTAGAGAGGCATATTCATACGTGTCTTTGGAGAATGGGTCAAGCTTCCTTCTTTTCCCCAAGTGGCACTTGAGCAGCTACTTTGGAGAGAGAAAAGTCACTGAAAAGGCTTCAGACAAATACTGAAAAGATGATAAATGATACTGGAAAAGTGGTTAAACTTCATATGATTAAAACCAAATAGGGTAAATCTTTTTTGGTCCACCAAGTGAAATTTTTTTCAGAAAAAAAAAAAGTGATTTTTCTATTCTTTTTTGAAGTCCTGGCATTGCCTAAGCTGAGGAGTTGACTTTCTGACCTCTCTGCAAGAGGCATTCATTATAAATGATAGAAGTGTTTGGACTCGGCGGACAGAATTGTATCCTTTGATTTTTCTCCCATCCCAAGCTTCCTGTGGATACAAAGGGACGTGAGAACATTGCTCATTAACCAGCCCAGTTAATGAGGCTCTCAGTCACATCTTGAAAAATAAAAACCATCCCTCTTGCTCCTGGAAAGCTGTTCAGGATGGAGGTGTGGGTGAAGTACCAGAAGAGATGCCTGAAGGTACAAGTTCCTGGCTGGAGTGGAGGTTCCTCACTCTATGAAGGAGACTATATTTTGGTCTTTCAGATCTATGCACCCATTTTTACAGTATTCATCTGTTCTGAGTATGGATGGGACCAGGAAGGTTTTAAATTCCCTCAGCTGGCACCAGCTAAGTTCTCCAGATGGGTGGGTAGGTGTTCTTCATTGCTAACTGACCGAAAACAGTGCTCCATCCAAGGAGCAAGCAGGAAAGCACCCTAAACCATCAAACTTTTCCTTTGGAGCTTAAAAGGTTATTTCCCGATTGAAATCTGGGCTTAACTAGAATTCTGATTGTCTGGAACCTTACTGGGAATTCAAACATTGCAAAATGGTCGTAGTTTCCTCCTCATTCTGCTTTTTCTATAGAAAGCTAAAGTTGTTCAAATTTCTTAGGCTGTTCCATCCCAACACTGGCATCTGAGCATTTGATGGGTCTCGTCCAAATCTTGGCTGCCTTATGGTCAGTGGCAGAACTGGACAGAAATTCTGATGTGAACTCTGGGCAGACTCCCTTGCTGAACAGCTTAGCCTGGCTGCTGGTGGTGAAGGCAGCTGATCCCTTCAGCGGGGACCTGCTCCTCTTTGGCCAGCCTGCTTTTCCAGGGGGAGGGAGATGGGGAGGGCCCTTCAGGCTTGCTGGGCTGCAAATCCTGCTCTGACACTCCAATGCTGTTTTCATCCTAGGGAATAAATTTTCCAAGAGGAACAGTTCCATGCTTGTGAGAACTGCCCCTGGTTCCTTGGGGTTTATTTTTGTCTGTTCCTACAGGGTTTCAGAAAGTGGGTGGTGTTGAATTTTTTGGTGTGGTATGGCAGAGTCTGATGAGAAAGTAATTTTCTAAACTGTTAGTGTAAGGGTAGAGGTGCTATTAACCACTTTCTTAGTTCTTTTTTTTTTTTTTTAATATAATGCAATTAAAATTATTTGTGGCTCTGTAGATCTAGCCTTAATGGAGGGAAGGAAAACTTTTCTACAAATCCACATCCTGAAGCAATTTTGAGCAGTGCTTGAGAACTGTATGAAGGAAACTTCAGCCAACCATGACATTTGGTTCTGAATGAAATTTCCCTGTTTTAGCTGTTGCTGCAATTAACCCATCAATTAAAAAAGTTACATTGTTGCCCTCCCACACTTTTTAATATTCACAAAATAGATGGCTGTAACTAGCTCAATTCCAGCTATGGTGGCCACTTTCTTCTTTCTATGAACTGTGCTCAGATACCTGATACTGGATCAAGAGTACACCTGAAATTTTAGTATCAAGATAAATTTTAGTAATTATCCATTAGACTTTTATTAAATGAAAATGTATTTCCTTTTTTTTTTTTTGAAGCTACTCCATTTTAGAAGAAATTTTAGTAATGCATCTACCATATAAAAGAAGTCTTCAGAATTACCTTTCAGTTCATTGTCAGATTAAAATTTTCTGATGGCCTTAAACATACCTGTATATATGTCTGTGCAGTTCTTTAATTCAACATTTAAAACAAATTGGTCCATGGCTTATGTAAAACATTTGAAAAATAAATCTATTTAAATGTTTTATGTCCTTCCCTTTTAAGCAAATACTTCATACC